CAGAACAGATGATTTTTACGGCAGTTAATCTATATTGTGTGATCCTATAATGGTGGATAAATGTCATTACACATTTGTCAAAACCCATAGAATGTACAACACCAAGAGAGAAGCCTAATGTAGACTATGGCCCTTGGGTGATAATGATATTTCAGTGTAGGCTCATGAATGGAAATAAATGTACTACTATGGTGGAAGATGTTGATAATGGAAAAGGCTATGCATGTGTAGGTGAAAGGGGTATACAGAAAGCTCTGTAACTCCTGTTCAGTTTTGCTGTGAATCTAAAAAGCTGTCTAGTAAAAATTCAGAAAATGAAAAAGAGCTCTTTATAGTAGATACAAATACCCAAGACTGGGGAAGTGGAGTATAAACATTTCATAAATATACACGACCAAATTTCCTAAATGTATGCAACATCCTCTTATGCAGAGCATTTTGCCAGACTGGTTTCCCACCAGGCACCCTTTGGAAAATGCCACTAGAGTAGTAAATAATAATGCTTTTAAAAGTAAGATGCCACAAACAAGAAAACCAATACAAAATTTTGAAGATAAAGTTGAGGAAAGCTTGAAGAAAGTTGAGCAAGAAGACAAAGAGAACAGGGATAAGAATAAAAATGGTTAAGAACACTAGATGACTTCAAGAAGTTCAATCCTGAGTATCATGTATGCCAGGAGGCGTAAAAAGAGAAAAAGAAGTGGGAGAAAGTCACTGATGAAAGAATTTAAGAAACTTTCAAGAAACTAACAAATGGAATGGGCACATTGAGTGTCCAGCATGGTAGGTAAAACTACTCACATCCTAGGTGAAATTTCAGTATACCGGGATGAAGAGAAGCTTCAGAGAATAAACACGTTTCATATCAAACTACAGATGTAAGTCTAAGAAAGGTTTACATGAGAAAACAAAGACATGAGAAGAAACAAAGGATGTCATGGAACTCAGAAGGCTCCGGGAGAGATTTCTCTGAGTTTGTAAACATACTTGAACATAAAGAGAGATGTATACAGTATTAACAGAGTAAGGCTGAATTAATATAAGTATATAACAAAATAAACACATAACAGTGAAAAATCAAGATTTACTCTGAAAAGAAAATGTGCGAGAAAGTAATCATAGCACACTACATGGCTCAATTGAGAATAGCATTAACTAGTTGTAATAACAAAATACTGAATTTCAATTTAATCAATCAGAATTATGACAGTATTAAGATAGAGAAGTGTGTATGGGTGGGTAAGGGGCAAGGAGATTAAAAAGAGCTAAACCTCTTCTTCTAAAGTGGGTTGTCAGCTGAAAAATGCCTAAAGCTAAAAAAAAAAAACAAACAGCAGTATAGATGTGCCATTTACATATATGGAGGTCATAAAATAATCAGCTGAATTAAAAGTGATTGCTTTTGGTGAAAAGTAAATGACAAGGAATGAGGGGATCTGTTTTATCTTTATAATAATTCTTGTAGGCCTATAGTTTCTTTAAACTATAAGCATATATATATAACTGATAAAAATAACTTTTAAAAAGTATACAGTGAAAAAAATAAAAGATAAATAATACAGTGTGGCATAAAGCTTTCAATCTATAGTAGTTTTTATTGTTAACATAAAGGTAACTTGGACTAAGCCTATCATTTTGTTAAGTGTGGAAACTGAGGCTCAGAAAGAGAAGTGATGTCAAGGTCATACAGAATGAGTCAATCAGGGGATGGTGATAGTCAATGAACAGTCAAGAGTGGTATAACCTGGCCAAGAGCAGGAAACAGATGCACAGTAAGTTCCCACTTTTCCTAGGCTATGAGATTCAGGCCAAGGGAGGGAAGCCAGCTCAGCAAACTGCCAGAGAGATGGTCTGCATCATTTAAATGGAATGAGGTATAGTCATGAAGCTTCTGCTGTTGTGGGTTTTCTAGGTATTGTTGAAAAGGCACCTAGGCACCTAGGTGGAATCTAGAATGAAGTTTGGCTGGGGCTAGATGTGATAGGATCCCGAATAGAACTGGAAATAAATGCAACAGGCAGGCTATGCTATCTTCCAAAGGTTGTCTGGTGAAGAAACTGGCCTTCCCATCAAGCTCTAATACTCTAGAATTTGAGTGGAGACACTCAACTCCTAAGAAAAAGACTCCCCTAACTTTGCTGAGGTCATTCCAATTATTCTGACTTCCTTAAATAAGATGGGGTGTCTGCAGAGTAATGAGAATAAGGTTTCACCCATGTATCTTCATTTACACATAAAAAATGAGTATTTTTCTTTATAGTTACTCCGTTGGGAGACTGTATATATCTACTTTAAAGGGGTAGCTTTTTAAGTAAGAGTTACCTTCATAGAAAGTTTATGAAATCGGAACAGATATGCAAAATCCAGCTTGTTTACCCAATCCAACTTCAGCTGCCAGATTTTGCTTTGAATCAAACATTCATTGATTGGTCTCCAGGGTCAAGTTCACTCTCATAGTACCAAGGTTTGCCACCATCCATGATACAAAAAAAAAAAAAAAAAATCAACCAGGGCTTTGTTAGTTCGGGCTTTTACAGGCTGGTTTTTGCTCTTGCTCGTCTGCACCTACAGGGGCCCTGAAGAGGAGAAGGCCCTGGACCAACTGCAGCTCTGGATTTCAGTCTCAGCAGATATTCTCTCCAGTTTCCAACAGACCTTGTGCTCAGCTTTGTGGAATCCCTGTCCAAAATGATGGCCAGTGCTCTGCATTTTACTGTCCCATGACTTCTTCAGAAACGATTTTCTTGAAAAGTTTAATATTGAAGAGTGAAGTAGAAAAAAACTGGATTCTTCATATTTCCACTGGACAGAGCCAGCTGCTTGTCAGAGGAAGTAATGGCTCCATGGTTAGTGCCCCTTTTGCTTAATCTGTTGGTGTTTGCAGAGCCTGTAGTTAATAGTTTTCTTCCTCATGTGCTCAGCTCCAAAAATCACCAGCCCAATTCCCACTGTGGGTGATCCCTGTGCTGCTTCAGCTGTTTCAGGTACACGAGGAGCTGCTGTCTCACTGCCAGGCCTATGTGGAGCACTTCACTCTAGAGCAGTTAAAGAAAGTCATCTTGCCACAGGTATTAATTGGGCCTGTGAGATACCAGTGAATCCACTATGGCAGTTACTCTCCTCAGGCTAGCACTGCTGGTCTCTCTACTTGGACCACAGGTGGTTGTGGGAGTACAAAGAACCAAAATCTTCACATGTACTGCCCCAAGTTTTACTAAAATTACTGACTTTTCCCCAGAAGGCGATCAATTTTCTCAGCCTATTAGATTTCCCATGAACTGAATTTCAGCTGTGAAAAATACCTCAGGAGACAGTGCAGACTACCCATCAATTTCTAAAATGTCTGAGGAGTGGCCTGACTGGAGGAGCCTGAAAACAAAACTGTCGACATACAGATTTGTCCTGCAGAACCCTATGATGCTGCCAAGTCCACACTCATGAACCGGAATGTGGAGAAGGAGCCGGAATTCTGAGCCCAGCAGCTTAGAAACTGAGGTAAATCCAGAGGTGGAATTACTGCTGCCACACTTGTAGTCTCAGGGGAGCAAAAGGCCATTCCTGCTTTGGTTCCACTCACTGAAGAATCTAAGCCTGTGAAATCAAACTTACCCCAAAAGACCAGAAGACCAGTCTTGCACAAAGTAGGGATGACCCAGACCAACCAAGCCACTAAAAGTGTCACCAGAAGAGAGGCACCTTCAGGTTCCATCAGAACTTGGTTTAGGAGAGGAGTTTACCAAGTGGGAAAGAAGGCAGTACAAGATTCCGAGATGGACTGGTTTGCTAATATTATTCCAGAAATTAAGCCTTCAGCTGCTATTCTCATTTTACCTGAACTGAGGACTGGAATGATGGTTCCAAAAAGGGTGATATCTTACCAATATTTAGTTTTTCTCAAAATTTGCTGCAGCAGCAATTACTGAGGAAGAGTCTAAAGGCTGGGGAGAAGGGGCTGAACTCAGAAGATGACAATCTGGTGACAATGGCTGTGAGTTAAACTTAAAGAAAAAACAATCAAACTAAATACCTAAAAAGCAAGCTCTGCAGACAAGAAAGCCCCAAAGCATCCTGTGTTTCCCATACCAGGAGCTCTTTTTCTTTGTCTGTGACATCAGGAGTGTGGGAATTCAAGCTCTGGGTAAAAGCCCCCATGGTGAAGAGGCTCACAGGACTTGTTTCTTAAAGGAAGATCCTATGTACATTTGACTAAGGGTGATTTCTAGGAAGAGCAAGCAGCTGTGGAAAGGCTGAATTAACTTTTTTTTCTCAGGACAATTCTGGAAGTAAAGAAAATACAACAACTCAAGCTGATTAGCTTATTTTGTGCCATTTCTTTAATATTCAGAAGAATAAGATCTAATTTGAAGTATTACGCTTTTTGAAAAATCTTTTGGAAAAAGTTTTAGCTTAAAGTATATAAATAAATTTAAATTGCTAAGGTTTCCTTAGGCAGCTTATTTATTTGTTTATAATTGTACTACCTGAGAATGGCTCTGTGGGAACCTGGACACTTCCTGACTTCCACATGTATTATCTTATACCAAAGTTCTTAATAAGAAATATCCCCTACAATCTTGTTCTTTAAATGTCCAATAAAGACTTTTCACTAGAAAAAAGTCAGAGCAGTTTCATACATATTTGTGTGGTGGCAGGATTACTGTAATGCTGGAAGGGTTCTTGAATGGAGCACCCTAAACTTGAAACGATATTATTCCAAACTGGGCCAGTTAGCTCCTTGTGCTGGCCCCTTCTCCAGCCCACCCTATGCCTCAGCTACACAACTCTGAGTTCACAGAACATCTACCCATGTTTCTTTGATTGTTTTGACAAGATGAAGGTTTCCCTGAAATGATTTCAAATGTCAAAGATAAAAAAGTTTTAAAAAGATTTTAATTAGGTTTACAAATGGATAGGGGGCTAATTAGTGGTACAAGACAAGTGAAAGTTCAAACACTGAGAGCCCATGGCTTGTTGCAGTGAATATTGTGATCTGCTCTTACCTGTGGGGGCCTGCATGGCTGAGCTGGGGATGGTGGCAGCATCTTGGGGTACAGTGCTGGTATCCGGTTCGGGGGTGCTGGTTGTTGGTGAGGTGGGTGGTGGGTTCAGCAAAGTCCGAGGTTTCCTCTGTCAAAATGGATGGGGAAAAGTTTGCTACCCATGTTAGGTAACTTGTCTTTTCATTCCTCTAGTCCTAGCATTTAATACACCCATGATACTGAAATATATTTGTGGATGGTACTGTGTTTTATCTTTGTTTTCCACACAGAATCTTGCCCAAAGCTGTAGATGTATTAAATGCTTAGTAAATATGTTCCGAACCTATGTACAAGATTCTGGGCTTCTGAGTTTCATACTAGATTCAATATTTTCATTTGAAGTTCCAGGTTCTTTATTAGTTGGGCAGACAAAAGTCAAGCAGGAAAATAAAGTGCTGTGGCTTTAAGTCTGCTCTGATATTACTTTCTACTTCTGCTTCTCTCTCTTTCCAAAAATGCAAATATCCCTTCCTCTAACTCTACAAACTCTTCTGCCTATCTCTTCAGCCTATTACCTGCCATTTCTTATATTAAATCTTATACTCTAGTGACCTCTAACTACATTACTTCCCTAAAAACTGCAGTTTTACCTGGTCTGTGCCTTTACAATAATAATAGGCCCTTCTGCCTGGAATGCCCTTTGATTTTTCACCTTACAATTATCTGTTTATCCAGGAAGCTTTTCTACATTTCCTCTGCTGTTTGTTTTGCGCTATCTTTGAACTTTGTATTGTAGCATTCGTCACAATGTATTGTCATTATATATTTACATACTGGTGTCCCATATTAGTCTGGAGCTTCTGGAAGGTCTGATTTTGAGTACCATTCCTGAGCAAGGAATACCAATAATGGGAGAAGTAAAAAAACGGTTTGAGAGAAATCCAGTGTCTCTTCTAGCTGTTCAGGAGAGCTTCCGTGGGAGAAAGATCTCAGATGATTCTTTCCAAGAAATAGTTTTCTAAAAGTCCTTCTGAATACGAGGAAAACAACCATCACTGAGACCCAGAAATCCCTTTTTACTAAGTATTCCATGTACGGTCCACTGCTGGGAGTGGACTGCCTCTAGGAGTGTGTTATCTAAAGAGAGAGTACCACTCACAGCAAGCATACATAAGATGGCCTTATCTGTGAAAGTAATCACGCAAACACTTAGGAAACACTCAAAACACACACAGGACATTTCCTCATATATTCTGATATTGCTAGAAGTAAAAGGGAAGAAAGGAAATATCAGTTCAACTTCACCGAATTGGTGGTAGGATTTCATGTGCTCCCTTAAGGAAAAAGCTTGGTTAAGTTAGGTACCAAATATTGTAGAAGAAAGCAGAAAGATAGAAGGTATTATTACTATTTGAGATAGGTGCATTTACATGTATAATTCAAATATTCTATTCTATTCAAATATTACTGCATCTCCATTTTATTTGTGAGAAACAGGCTTAGAGCCTTACTCAAAGAAGCTTTCCTAAAGTAGCAGGTGGTAAGAAATGGAGATGAGATATAAACCTAAATTTGTCTAGCTTCAAAACCTATGCTCTAGTTACAAGACCACTTTGCTTCAAAAAAGAATATTATGGGTCATGTGTTAAGTGGATGGCATATAAGCTTAATGAAATAGGCAAAAGAAAGGAAGGGGAAATAGGGAGTCAAATACCAGGCCATAAAATACAGGATAAGATGAGAATTACTGTTTTCAAGAGGATTGGAAAGAAAGATGACTTTGGTTATGAAGTTTAGGACTGCATGAAAGCAGAGCAGATGTAATCATAGAATCAAGGTCTAAGGTTTTGAAGTATCTCTAAAGGCCACTTAATCCAAACATCTATGTAATAGTTTTAATTACCTCTTCTTGAAAACATCCCTGTCATATAGTTATTCTGTATCTGACAAAATATTTTCATAAAGACTTAACTGTTCTTTTTATGATGAGACAAAGCCTGTCTGCTTGAACTTATGATTATTGGTATTGGTTCTGTCTTTGGAACCTCACCGACAAGTTTCTCTCTCTTTAATCTGACTGTCCTCAAGATACCTTCACATAATCAAAAGCATGGTGTGAATAAAGTGAAGGTTCCTGTGGCCAGGATTCTCACCTGCCCCTGGTCAGCTAGCTCACTACACACGCGTGGGCATGTGTCATTACTGCCTCTATATAAACAGCCTGCCCAGTGCTCTGGGCGACACGGTGGCATGACTGCAAGGCTGCAGGAGAGAAGAGCAGAGGCTGGAGTGGTGGCAGCACTGAGGACAGAGACTGGGATGGCTGTACGGGCAGAGAGGCTCAGAGACAGAGACTGGCTTGCTGCATGCAGACTCGCTCTGAGTGGATGGGATTCTAGTGATTGACCTGCCACTGTGGAAATAAAGTTGGTTATAACCCTTTCACCCCAAGAACATTCTACTGTCATTTCTTTGGTCACACTGAATCCACAGTGAACTTGCCTGGGGCTGAAACCCATTGGCAAGACAATTGGTGATGGAGGCAGGGTTCATTGGTGACCAAGGAAAAAGAACAGGCTGCCCTCATGGAAGGAGTGTTTCAGCAGGCTGCACCTATGGACAGGGAGACACTCAAGTGTTCCCCTGTGGACATGTACTGTGAAGAGGTGGAGAACTGGGGTCCACCCCAAAAGAAAGAAAATTTGTTAGTGACTGGGATAGTGTCACTACAAAGAGCTGTGGAAATAGTAAAGGCCCAAGAGGAGGCAGCAAGAAAGGGAGCAGAGGCCCAAGAAGAAGTGGCACGAGAAGCAGCACACAGGCTGCCAGATGCCGTGGGGCAAGAGGTGTATGTAGTAGAGCCATCAGCCCCAGACATGGAGGAACAGAAGTTTGATGAACAGGTGGGGGTGGAGGCCATGCTGGTGCTGGAAGCATTGGCTCCTCCTCGGTTGAGACCCCACCTGGTTGAAAGCTGGTAGAAAGCCAGAAGGACTTGGCAACTTCGGGTTCTTTCAGGAGAGGTGCAGCCCCCTCCTCAGGTTGTGGAGCACTCCATGCTTTGCTTCTGTCTTTAGGCTCAAGCACAAAAGGAAATATGGTCTGCTTCTCGAAGGAAGAATTTAAAGGGCCCAGAGAAAGCCATGAAGACCCAGATGTGGGTTGGTCTGAAAAGGCAGGAGCAGACAGGAAGAAATTGGATGACTGGAGCTGTGGCAACAACTGAGACCAGAGCAGTGGTTCTGGCTGCTGAGGACAAAGCAGATGGCAGAGATAAAGCAACAAGATCAGCCTGTGTGCCTGCTGGAGAGGCTGGAGAAGGTGGGTATTGTAAGGCCCACCCATGGTCCTTTTGGTTAGCTCATTTGAGTAAAACTGGTTTGCATACAGCCAGGATGACCACTTGGTGGCAATCGATCTTCTCAGGCTTGAGGGTTATCAAAATTTGTTGTAATTTTTGTTATCTGTATATTGTTGTAGATTATGGAATTTGGTTACAATGTTTCAGCTTCCTTGCACAGGGACCACTGCAGAGGATTGAGGGTACATAGACTGAGAGACAAGAATCCTGGAGGGCTGGAGTGTGGATAAAATGAAGGTTCCTGTGGCCAGGATTCTCACCTGCTCCTGATTGGCTAGCTCACTACACACGTGTGGGCAATGTGTTGTTACTGACCCTATATAAAGAACCCTGTCCAGTGCTCTGGGTGACATGGCGGCACAGCTGTAAGGCTGCAGGAGAGCAGAGCAGAGGCTGGAGTGGTGGCAGTGCTGAGGAAAGAGACTGGGATGGCTGTGCGGGCAGAGAGGCCCAGAGGCAGAGACTGGCTTGCTGCATGCAGACTTGCTCTGAGTGAATGGGATTCTAGTGATTAACCTGCCACCATGGTAATAAAGTTGGGTATTACCCTTTCCCCGCAAGAATGTTCTACTGTCATTTCTTTGGTGACATTGAATCCATAATGAACTTGCCTGGGGCTGAAACCCACTGGCAAGACACATGGCTTCTCTGGTCTTGAAATCTTAGGGGCTTCAGCTTCTCCTCCATACTGTGAGATGAGAAGAGAGTACTGCAGACAAAAAAATGAATCAGGACCTGAGTTACGGATAAGTGGTAACAGATCAGGAGCATTATGTATTACACAGAAAGATCAAGATACAACATCAAGAATTCAAAGCCAATTAATAAGACATCTCAACTGGAACACCACCACTAAAATCATCCATCCATCCATCCATCCATCCTGCATATCCTGAACATCTCCCAAGAGACCAAGACATAAGGCACTTCAGGAAAAAGAGAAGGAATAGGTTCTTGACCTTGAGGATTTTATATTCTAGAATGATTGAAGTCAGCTGGAGCTAATATACAAAACAAGACCAACTAAAAATGAACAAAAACTAGGCAAGAATTTAGGAGACTGGAATGGAGTGCCCAGGGTGTACTGGGTATAATTTCTCCATTAGAATTTAGGTAGTCTAGTTCAAGAGGGAGCTGCAGAGAAATCCCCTGACAGGAAGTGAGTGGAGAAGGTGATGCCTAAGGAAGCCGCAGAGAAGCAGATGAGGTACTTTCATATCAATGGTTTACCTAGGGAAGGTATGCATGAAGAACTGGTCATAAATCAAAGGTGGTACTCTCAGTACCAGTGTTCACTGAGCTTGACTCAGCAGTCTCTTCCTACATAGAGATTAAGTGTTACCTCCCTCAGGAAATGTGAGAGAGTGAATATGTGATAGGGCAACAGTGGCCTTAGAATTAGAAGATCTGGTGACTCATCTCTGTAGCCTTTGCCATTTATTAGCTATGTGACCTTAGGGAAGTCATTTCACATCTTGAAGTCTCAATTTACTTAACTATTAGGTAACACTAACACTACTCATCTCCTAGGATTTTTGTGAAGGTAATGTTATATATAGTTAATGGTGTGATACAGAATCTGATACTTAGTAGGCATTCAATAATCTCCCTACATTTTTCTTTTAAGGAAGGGGCAGGAATAGAAAAAAACACATTTACAGAGTCAATTTGCTCTTTCTGTTCACATGCCTGGGCATCCCCTCTGGGTAGGTTAACAATTAGGAGCAGGCTTTTCATCTAGGGAAGACATTAGATCAGAATTCCCTCAAATGTGAGTGACTTCCAGTCAACATTTGTTTCTTATCCACACTACCCTATCTGACATTACCAACTCCAAGGTAAGAAGCTCAGTAGGGATACCAATCTAGGAGATTCCTCTTAAAGTCATACACGAGGTGGAAAATAGGGCCAGACATGCCCCTTTCCAAGATGGATGCTTATGGATGAGTTACCCTTTATAATCCTTTATCCCTTTCTGGGAAACCCACATTTTTACCTACCTTACTGCCAGGTTTGGGACCCCTCTTCTTTGGGAATTTCAAAGGTTCAGCTGACTTGGATGGGGTAGAGATGGGATGGGGAATGGGGGGCTTGGCTGTCCGGCCCCGCTTCTTTCCTGGTTTACGCCCCCTCTGCCCTGGTTGATGCTCCAAGACAGTTTTGGTGCTGCTGTGGATGCTGGGCTTCTCAGTGTTCACATCAGGTGTAGGATAGGGATTCTTTGGAATCACAACTGCAAGAAAAAGACTCATTCTATCACCCCCTCCTCCCACCTGCATTCCCATCCCAGCCAGAGGATAAAAAGGACTTGTTACTTTTACTTGGGTAGTTTTAACCCCAAAAGCTAGATTTTTTGGATCTGACCTAAATGTTACAAAATCTCAGAGGAGAATTGAACATAGATTACTAGAATTGGAAGTTTTAATTATTTCTGGCAAATGCAGAAAAATATTAAATTTTTCTCCCTAAGGCACCTAGTTAAAGCCTATAAACAGAACCACAGATTCAGAGATGGAGTGGCTGTTAGAAGCCTACAATCTTTCTTGCTAAAAGGAAGATCTGAGGCTCAGAAGAGGAAATGATACCTTCCCCAGGTTATACAGTGAGTTGGGAAAAGAACTTATGTTTTGAAACTGGGCCTAGACTACCAAGTCAAAGATTCTCTACATCAATCTACTTAGAGTTTTAGTGTGATTATTGCTGTGAGGAGTAGTGAAACATGGAAATATACATGTGATATCATTTCTCCTTAGCTTAAAAAAAGCTGTGCTCCATATTACCTGTAAGGTGTAGCTCAAATTCGTTATTCTGATATCCAAGAACTTCTGTGGCTTTGCCTCTGACTTGCTCTCCAGTTTATCTGATATCATTTCCTGCCACTAACCCTATGTTCTAGCCCCACTGTTTTCTGAACATCAGTTCATTCATATGTGTTGAGTTCTATAATTTCCTGGTCAGACGTATATCATTATTCAGTTTTCACCACTCAGCTCAGGGCCACCTCCTTATTAATAAGGCCTTGTCTGACTATACCCCAACTAAGTCAGTACCACCAAACCCTCCAAAAAGCATTCTGTAGACATCTATATTACAGTGCTTTCAATTTCACCCCAATCATTTATATTTTCCTTAAATTGAGAATTCTTCAAGGTAAGGGGTATCTAATTCATTCCAAAATAGTTACTGAGCACTTACTATAGGTTTTGCACTGTTCTAAGCCCTGGGTATAGAAAAATGAAAAAAATAGACAGTTTCTACTTTAATGGATGTTGCCTCCTAGTGGAGGAGACAGAAAACAGACAAAGTAAGTGCTATGATTAAAACTAAAACAAAGTAAAGAGATAGGTAAGAAATGTGCTCTTTGAGGTGACATTTGCACACAGAACTCAATGAAATAAAAGCAAAGTCTTATGAAGATCTGAAGAAAGCCTTTCGCATAGAGGGTATCTAACAAGTGTAAAATTTCTGAGATGGGAATATGTGTGTTTCAAAAATGGAAAGGAAGTCAGTATAGCTAAAAGTGAGTCAGCAAAGAGGAGAGTGAAGGGAAATTAAGTTAAAAAGGGAGTTGCAAAAAGATTGTGTAGGACTTTTTACACCATAGGTACAATCCAGACCTAGACCAGCTCAGTCCATGATTAGATTGAGGGGATCAGGCCATTATCTTATTAGTCTGACAGAGGAAAGGAAGAATTCTTTCTGATGGGAGCCATCACTGAAGCCTCAATAGTTCTTTTATATAAAATACCCAATATATTACACATATAAAAATATTAGATATAAGAGGAGGCATAACAGTATGATTGGTAATCAAGAGAAAATACAGACAATAGGAGATTCAAATATGATCCAGAAAATGGAACAACCAGACACTTTAAAATAAGTATAATAACCATGTTAAAGAAAGTAAAGAAAAAGATGAACAAAAGTAAGAAAAGGAAAATAACAACCATAGAAAACTGGAATCTATATAAAAAGTTAAATGGACATCCTAGAATAAAAAATATATTAGAAGAACTCAGATGGATTGGATGGATTAGGAACTGGGTGTATTTAAGGGTAGACAAGCAGAAAGATTAATGAACTTGAAGAAAGATAACAGAAACATCCAAAGGCTCAAATATATATAAATATATATGTAAATATATATATATGAATTACAAATTGCCAACCTAGAGTTCTATATACTAACAGAAAATGTCTTTCAAAATGAAGGTGAAATAATATTTTCAGACTAATCAAAGCTAAGAGAATTTGTCACCAGCAGACCTAAATTATAGCAAATAAAAAGGAAGTTCTTCAAACTTGTTCATTATGCTTCAGAAGATTGGAGACTGTTGAGAACTAGGCTTGGGGTTGATTAATGATTGTGCATTGAGTCCCCTGTACAGAATTTTATTGTTGTTAACAACCATTTGATCAATAAATATGAGATGCCCTCCCAAAATAGAAGAATAGAGCTGTGGGAAGGAATGAAGAGCAGAAGAAAGGGTAAATATGTAGTTAGACACAAAAAAATATTTACTATTTGTAAGATAAATTTTAGCTGAAATAAGCAGGCGAAGAGAGGCAACAAAGGGCCAGGTAGTTTATTTGAGTGCAACTCCTGGGTCATGTTCCGCGGTCTGGGTATTACAGGCTGGGGAAGTCACACCCGGTCAGAGAGGTGGGGGCTTATAAGGGATTAGGAGGGGGAGGAGTGGGCAAGGTATCCTAGGGGGCATGGAGAGGTATGATTGGTTAAAGGTGACATAATAGACAACTAGAAACTTTTTTTCCTTCCAAGAGGGAGGAGGCTGACATCCAGGTCTTAGTTGGCACATCAGAAGGATGGAATTCAGGGAGAGCTGTCCCCTTTCCATATAAGGCCTTGGGGTCTGGTCTGTTCTCCCCCTGTGGCATCTCTCTGTTCTGTTTGCATGTCCTTGTTTCTCCTTCCTCCAGCCTAACACTATTTAGAACAAAAAATTTTTTAAATGGCTTATAGGGTGTATAATATATATAGGGTTTATTTATTTGTTTATATATACATATATATACACATACATATACATATATATATATATATTTATATATATATATATATGTAATACAAAAGCAATAGCACAAAGGATGGAAGTGGGAGTGGGTAAAATGAAGCCAAACTTTATTAAGAATTTTGCATTATTTGAGGAACAGGTAAAGTGCTAGAAAGCAGATAGACTTTAATAAATCTAGGATGCATATTTGCACAGGGCAACTAATTAAAGAATTATACAAGAATGTATCACTAAAAGTTAAGGAAAAAGAAACTGAATAATAAAACACACTTGATTAATCCAAAAGAAGGTCAAGAAAGGAAGAATAAAGTAATGAGGAAGAACTCAAAGAGAAAACACAGCAAAATGCAAAATGATAGACTTAAGCCAAAATAAACAACTGCATTAAATACAAGTGGATTAAATAAAACAATTGATAAAAAAAAATTCCCAGAACCCAATTTTATCTGTTTATAAGAGGGCCTTGAAATAAAAGGACACTTGAAATATAACAACACAGGAAGATAAAAACAAACAGGTGGAAAAATATATATTGTGTAAACATTAACAAAAAGAAAAGTCATGTGGCTACATTAATATCAAACAAGGGTGTCTTTAAGGCAAGCAGTATAACTAGACTAAATAGGGACATTTCACTAAGGTAAAATAGTTAATGCAAAAGGAAGCTGTAATAACTTTAAATTCATATGTACCTGATAATAAAATGCATAAAGAAAAAGTTTAAAGAACTAAAAGGAGAAACAGACAAATCTAAATGAGTTGGAGATTTTAACACATCTCTCTCAGTAACTGACAGGACAAGAAGTTGAAAAAGCACTAAGCATAGGTAAGATTTGAATTATGTAACTAACCAGTTAACCAACAAACCTAATTGACACATAGGACACTACACCCAATAAATGTAGAATACATACTTTTTTCAAATGTTTATGGAATATGCTGGATGAAAAAACAATCCTCAATAAAGTTAAAAGAATTGAAATAATACAGAAAATGTTCTCTAACCATAGTGGAATTTAAACAGATAGCAATAACAGAAAATTAGAAAAACCCCAAATGCTAAGAAATTAAGCAATAAATACTTGTAAATAACTTACATGTCAAAGAAAAAACAAACATGAAAATTTCTGGATCTTAAAACATGAGAATAAGACATACCCAAGTGTGCTAGATTGAACTAAAACAGGGTTCAAAGGGAGAGTTAGAGCTTTTAAATGTTTACATTAGAAGAGAAGAAAAGTTAAATATAAATGATGTAAGTTTCTATTTCAAAAACCTAGGAAAAGAACAGCAAATTACACTCAAAGAAAGTGAAATTAAGGAAATGAGATGAGTAGGTAAGTCAATGAAAACAGGAAGCAGACATAGTACAGAGAAAATGAACAAAGTTTGGTTCTTTGAAAAGATAACCTCTTAACAATCCTCATTAAGAATTATAAAAAGAAAATGCAACCTGCAAATATCAAGAATGAAAGAGGGATTTCACTATAGATACTTCAGACATTAAGAAGATAATAACAAGATATTATGAATAACTTTATGCAAATAAATTTGAAAATTTAAGTGAAATGGGCAACTTCCTTGAAAAAACACAACTTACTGAAATGGATACAAGAAAAAGCAAAATATGAAAAGCCCAATACATACTAAATTGAAATTGTAATAACCCTCTGCAAAGAAAATTATAGGTGCAGATGGCTTCAGTGGTGAATTCTACCAAACGAAAGAGGAAATAATGACAGAATTTTCAAAACCTCTGTAGGTAAACAGAGGAAGAGGGAACACTCCCCAACTCATTTTATGAGGCCATCATAACCCTCATATCAAAACATGACAAAGATATAACAAGAAAACAAACGTATACATTAATATCCCTCATAAACAGATGCAAATCCTTAATAAAATATTAGCAAATTGAATCCAATTATATACATAAAGAATAATATACCATGACTAAATATAGTTTATCCCAGGACTACAAAGACTGTTCAACAATAGAAAAAAAACAGCTGAACTCACTACATTAACAAAATAAAGAAGAAAACATGTATGTCACCTCAACAGATGCAGGAAAAGCATTTGACAAAATTCAGCACCCATTCATGATGAAAATTATCAGCAAACTAGGAATTGAAGGGAATTTCCTTATAGAAAAGAGCATCTACAAAAAAATCTATAGCCAACAACATACTTA